TAGCTATTTGATTAGTATGCGGTGCTCTAAGTAAAAATATTCTACGCTCACAAAAATCTTTCCCTAACTTTAATTCTAACCTAAATACTAACTCTATGAAAAATTTGATCTAAAAATTTTATATACAAAACAAAAAAAAAAACTTGGAAAAAAAATATATAATAGGTGCAAAACCACCATAGATGTATTCCATATAACTTGTAATATGTACAGTAATTAGGTTTACTTCTCTTATTAACATTATATAACGGTAATAAATCTTTTATACGTATTATACGTATATATATTATATATATATATATATATAATTAAAATTATATAATATATAAATATATACGGGTTCCCGAAGCACCGACATACAAGCGCACCTGACACAACGCAAGGTGCTTAGCTTAAAATGTACCAGGCGTTTTGTAGGCACGCCATTGCAGCATTGGCATTTGCAGAGCCATATTCTCTTAATACGTAGTTACGGTTAGTGCTAAATACAGAAGGGTAACTACCCACTTACGTCATATAAAATCTGGGAGTTACGGTTATGCCGTATGTTATTTCATGTTCTAATGTCTGCACCTTTAGTGCTAAACATAAATAATTACTGTCTAAAGTACCCTTTTTGATCCATCAAATGCAGTAACATTACATTACAGTACAGCAATACGTAAGATCAAAGAACGACAATACAAGTACGTACGTACGTCATTAGACATGCTATGCCACACTTTTTATAATATTGTCTCTCAATTGTGATTGGCTAAAACTTTACCCAGTCTAGGGCTGCTGGGCTGCCCTATATTTAGAATGAGATTGACAAAATTGGAGTTTAATATCGCTGCGCCATATACTCCAATATTTCTAACGCGTCGCGATCTATCATTTCATTTCAACTGCATTTTACATAATGGGTGAACCTAAATCGAAACAATTTGAAAATATTTACTATGGACTTTCAAATTCTCCAGGAATCCTCAAGCTTGCTCCAAGTGGTTTAGGTTGGAAAACTCCCGATTCAGAAAGTATAGTAACTATTTCTGCTGAAGAATTTAAAAAAGTTCATTGGATGCGTGTTGCAAGAGATTATCAAATAAAATTTGCTTTAAAGAATGGGAATGCTGCAAGATTTGATGGTTTTCCCAAGGAGGTATGTATTCATAAAATTTGTTCTGAGTTTTGCTTTTAATTCTCTCATTTTTCATCTTTGTAACCAATTTTTCAGAATTTTGAATCACTAAGAGAAATTATTCGGACAAATTATAAATTAAATTTAGAAACAAAAGAGATATGTGTTAAAGGGTGGAATTGGGGTGAAACTG